TGCGTGCCCGATTCGGAAACGACTATGTACTCCGTGTAACTCTGTTCGATTTAGTGGCTCTAGGATTCCGTGGGCAGGCCAGAGAAGGAACTGGTTACTATCGGGATTGATATTTGGAAAGGGGAGGAAAAGGGGAGGAAAAGGGTCGAAAGGTGAGAAAAATTGAGCCGGTGAAATTGAAAAGGCGAAGCGGTGGCCGGTGGAGACAGAGATAGGGCGGCGAGGGGGTGAGATTTCGGCGCAGCGTCGCGGGCTTCCGTGGTATCGGTGAAAAGGATGGCCGCTTTGTTTCGTGGACGGCGTCGCCGGCCGATATCACGGTCGAACGAGTTTTCGGGGCAGTGGAAGGACGGAAATACGGACGGAAAAGCGGGTGTCGGGTGTGCTGGGGTAATACGCGGGACGAGGTTAAGCGAGAGCTCGCGGGGGGCCCGAGGGTTCGTTTCGGCCGAGGACGTCGATAAGCGGCTCGCATTGTCCGACGGTCACGTGGCCAGCCTCTCGCAACCCCCTCGAAACGACGCCTTGTCCCGGCCACCGTCGTTTATATTAAACTCCGAGGTTAATACCGTGGCTTACTCTAATACCGGGGCAACCCTTTGCCCTGCGATACGCCGATAAGGGTTATGCTACCGACCGCGAATACCACCAACTTCCGCCGCCGCTTTACGACAACCCGAAACTCTCTCTCTCTCTCTCTCTCTCTGGCTGCACAGCTCCAACTGAGAAGAAAAGTTTAGTTATGCGAGACGAAAGGCCGAAGCACGGTGACAGTTGGAGGAACGAAGGTCTCGCGGGCGAGAGGCATCTCTGGTTTCGATCGCGGCGCGAAGCGGAACGTCGACACGCGGATGCAAAGAGGGCAGATAATAAAAGGAAAATGGGTAACGCTCAAAGTCAAGGGTTGGGGGACGCGACCCCGACTCAACGCCGACTCAACGCCGAGCAACAATGCGCCAGATAGAGAACCGACCGCGAGGATCGTGGTCTCGGGCTCGCAGATAACGCGTTCTCCCCTTCCACGGTTCATCCCCTTGTCGCTCCCGTCCCCGTCCCCGTTGCCGTTCCCGTTCCCGTTCTCGTTTGCCCGTTTCGCTCCTTCCATTATAGTTTTCAGCTACTCTTACCATTGACCAGATGAACGAACGTCGGCGAAATCTTGGAAACGATCGAAGCGAACGGTAGGCTGGACGAGGAGAGAATCGATCGTAGAAGCAGGCAAGGATATCCCCGATGGACGTCCAGTCGTATTTCAGCGGCATGGTCGAATCGCGGAAGCGTACTCTCGAGAAGTCCTGTTCGCTCCGTGATAGACGCTGATTAGACCGTAACGCTTCCTCTCCGTTTCTCTGCCCATCTCCGGTCGACGTTTCGAGAGCGCGGCCGTTTCGCCGCGTCGATAAATTATCCGAGGTTAACAGGTGAGCGCGAGCGACAGACTGCGATAATAACGACAACGATAAACGCGTCAATAATATTGCCGCCGCTGCCGCTGCGGGATCGGGGACACGGTTACGAGAGTAGGCGGTATTAACGATCGCCGCTCGTGTTCCACTCGACCACAGCGTTATTCCCACTGCTCGTGGATTTCCCTTCGATTTGGGTTACCGGGCTTAGCCTCGCTCGCTTTGATCCGCCAGCGACCGACATTTCCATTTCCTTCCCAATTCTACTTCCGTATTTTTCGCTTAAACCTCTTACTCGCGCGACCTGCGTCGTACAACGTCGTACGTTTCGTGTGCGTGATTAACGCTACGGTGCGTCGATCGAGGGGCATCGAACGACTGGAACGTCGAGAGATTAGCCGCTCGAAATCCGGTTGCCCCCCGACGATCTCGCCGAACGAGAACGTACATATCGGTTCGCCGAGTCGGAGCGAGCCACGATCCTGCTTACTTTCTCCTCGCGTCTCCGCGGTGTCCCCGTTTGCGAGTCCGCTTCACGATGCTCTTTAGCCTTCTCGCAGTGTCGCAGATATCCGACTGTAGAACCAGATCGTCCACGGAATTGGGCGGAATTTACGAGACGATAGTATGGCTAATTAGGTGGTTAATAGGGGAGCAGGAGGTAAGAAACGAAAAGCGCACGGTAGGAAATACGTAGGTCGCCTGCCGGTTGCTCACCGGTTCCCCGAGCCAAAGGGAATTGCATCGCATGCCACATAATCGTGGGAGTGTTTCCCATCAAGATACACGTAGGTACCGCACTCGGCGTAATGCCCCGCCGCATAAATATATCTGCATCGCGGCTTTGCATGCTTCTACGGGGTGGCCTCGAACCGTGGGAGGGGACGCGTTCCACCAAACAAGATTGCCACCTTCCGATCAACGCGCGCTTGTCACGGCCAAAGGGTATATACATATGTACCTACAGTCGGAGTGGCTACTTCCAAGAACTGATCTACGAATAGGAGGAAATCCTTCCGGCGAACAGGCAGGGAATCTTCCGCGCCACCGAGTGTGTAGAGGAGAAAGCCGAACCGCTGGAACGACCGATCTAGCCAGCTAAACGTACTTTATGCACCGTGCCCTCGTTCCACCGTTTTGTCCGAACAATTAGACGCGTGATCCACGGTTACGGGGCGTACGAAAAAAGAGCCGCTTAATCGCTTCACTTATCGGCCAATCTTCCGACGGAGGAGCTTCCACTCGAAGAAACTTTCCGAGACGAGCATCGAACTCTACGTACTTGCTTGTATGTATCTCCTCTCGGTCCGACTGGTTCGAGAACGTTTAAACGCGATAAAATCCTGCTCGCGTCGGACAAGATCTGTTACGCAAGAGGCTCGTCGAGGCTGGCGTATCTCGCGAAATCTCCCCGGTCCGAAGACACCAGGCGGAGGGTAGGCGGAGGGTTCCACGCACGGTCCCCTCGGTTGGGAGGAAAAAAAGGAGAACGAAAGCGGGTCCTTCGGTCCGTGGCGAGGGAAAAAGGAGGCAAGCTCGAGAAACGGGGCATTAGCATAAGCTAAACCGAGCTAAGCGCGGCCATATAGCACGAAAATAAATAGCCGCTTGTCTCGTATCTACACCGAGACGGTTTAGCATGGGGCGGCAGCCTCGTGGCCTGGAACCTTCAGCCTAAAACCTGAACGCGTGTGCGTACTACGTCCGAAGCTTGACCACCCACTGTAACGGCCACCGAACGCGTCGATCCCATTTTCGGAACGCCCTAGCCTTCGACTTTTCTCCAAATCCTTATCCGACTGGCTCTCGTTACTATCGATCAAAATTCACAACCCAACTCTCCCCTAATTATCGCGAACCTCCGCCGTTCGACAGGGCGACGCGAACGATTGTCGTGGAAGGCGGACGGACGAGAGGGTATCATTACCGTGGCGGCGGGGTTTGGGAGACGGCAACTTTTAGCGATGACGGTTCTCCGAAAGCGTTTACCGATCCATCGTAAGCGGATAACGATTCAGCAAGATCTTACATTTTCCGAAACATTATCGTAATGATCGTTAAACGGTTTTGCGTCGCGCAATCGCGCAATCGCGCGCCAATTCGACTCGGCGGCGGCGACGACGACGACGACGACGACGACGACGACGACGACGACCACCGGCGGCGAACGGTTCGAGGAAGATGCGTCGCGGGAAAGGGGCGGGGCACCGCGACCAAGGGTGAGAGAGAGCGAAGGGAAATAGAAACGAGCGAGCATTGTCTCCGCGCGGCTCGATGACGATCGCCGTGCAACATCGACGAGCGAGAGGTTGTCGCATTGTGTCGGCGAATCTCGCCTCTCTGGCTAGAACCGGGATCGCGCGCGGTGGATGACAGTCCTGCCCGCGATAACATCTGTTCGCGTCGATTAGACGAACCTACGAACGAGCAGCGCGCGTCAAGAGACCGCGCGTCGCGATCGGACTTCTTCCGGCGGCCCTGCCACCATGCACAACCATTGTCCCCTTTCTCTCTAAGCTTCTCTAAGCTCGCCGTCGCCGTCGTAGTCCAACGGAGATAGCATCTACCGTTGTGCGGCGAACAAGTGGGAAATCGACGAAGAAAGAAAAAGAAGGTGAAATAATAGGTAGAGATATATGTTTACCCGTGGTGAATAGGACGATGGCTTTCAGGCAGCTGTACTCGGCGGAATCGACGTGCAGGGCCTTGAGCTTCTCCACCTGTTCCTGAAAGATCCTAATGTGGTCCATGAAGGCGACCACGCGGTCCGCCGCCATGGGGGAGGCGTGAAGACCGGCCGCGGCGAGGAGCGGCGCCACGTGCAGGGGCATCGAGCACTGACTCGCGTTTAGCACGAACAACTCGCTCCAAACTAGCCTGAGCAGGGCGACCTGGTCCGTCACTTGAAGGTCCGGGAAGAACGGGATGTTTCGAGCCCACTCGACCGCCGAGAACAGCAATCTCGCCGCGAGCTCGCAGATGTTGTCGATTCCCATGATGTTGTTCGGTTGCATGCACTGGCCGTATCGCGAGGTCGGGTACGGCTCCGCCCTCAGGAGCAGGCTTATGTACGAGGAAAGGTAAGAATGACCGTTCAGGCTGGCACACGCGACCGCGTCGCCGTTCGTCAGGGCGAACTGTCCGGGCAACCCTGGCAGCGCCGGCTGCGACGGTGGCACTCGACCTCTTTGTACGGCTGCAACAGACAAACCAATCCATCATTTCCCTTCCTTTTCATCTCTCTTCTCTTCCTTTCATATTTTTTTAGTCTTTTTTTTCCGGTTTTC